ATAACATTCTTTTTGGCGCTTTATAATTGACTTACGCCATGATGGTTTTTAGATTGTAATTCGAATTAGCTGGTGGTGTTTGTAAGGGCAAACAGCATAACATTTGGATATTTTATACTGTTTTTATACTATGCTATACTATACTATATTTTATACTATGTTTGCCCCCTTGAAGACCACGTGGCTAATTYGCATTACAACATGAAAGCCACTATGACGGCTCTCGTGCACTGAAACGTTTTTCTGTCAATTAGCGATTGGTCAATCAATACGCCTGAGTGCATGAATTCACACGAGTGCATGTGTCTGTATTTTTACCCGACTGCTTTCTTTGCATTCAATTATTATTATTTTATTGTAATGTCATCTTTGTGCACTCTGCAGGTTTTGGCTTTGACTGTGGTCTTTATGTGAAGGGCACAACTCAAGAGCAAAACGCTCTTGATATCGGTGATTATATTCACAAGGTAAGTAAATAGTAGCTCTGATTGGGTGCCATTAACTATTTCAATCAATCTCGTCGTATTTTTTAGATAAATGGAAAGCATTTAGATAAGATCATCTCGTCCTCGGTRGAGAAGGTAATCAAAAAGTCTACAGATAAAGTCAAATTTAACATCACGAGAACTATAAAAAGCACTCCTCACGCGAACGAACCTAAGGTGAGAAAACTGATCAGTGTAATTTATATCTTTTGTGCATCAATTTGTTTGAACTCTTGATCACGAACTTCTATTGTCACAGTTGAGTAACAATAAATACTGTATCGTTGTTTGATACGCCAGCGTATACGAGTAAGTATTTATTAATTGCCCATGAATTCGCCCTTTTAGGGACCAGAAAATGATAAGGTTGTACTAAGACGTCTTKCTGGCAGCAACCACAAATCTCCTACCAATGATGTCAACCGACTATCACTGATATCCAATGATAGCAGCATATCAATGAGGTCACGTGACTCCCGACTTTCAGGGGCGTCTAGCCTGGGTTCAATGGCGTCAAATAATGACTCGTGTTTTGCCGACTCGAGCTCCGACCATTCCGGTCCGATACACTCGACCCCTGTTGGTAAAGGTGAGCGGACTCGTATAGCCACTGCTATTTACGTACCTTCGGATGAACAACTCGATGAACTGCCATGTTCTACAGAACTACTAACAACGGACGGCAGCGACGAAGTGAAAAGACTTAAAGGTTATCCTGTCTCACAGATGGGAAGGAAGTATAATAGTACAACAGTTTTGAGGACTGGAGGCTATGACTCATCTGGTAGTGATTATGGTCTTACCAGGACCCAGTCTACTATTGCGGCAACTCGGATTGATGAGGAAGATCGATGGGATGTAGGACTGGGACGAACAGGAACAGTTGAGATCTTGGCTCCAACTAGCGACAGGTAGCTTGACCTTTTACTGTATTCCATTTTCTTTTACTTTTTATTTGCTTCTCACTTGTCTTGTTTTTTTCTCTCTAACTCTAATTTGTTTTCTTTATTTATTAATCTTGAGAAGTTATCCTCCAGCAGCATGTTAGTAGGAGAGTAATGATATAGCAAATGTGTCCAGATACTGCTGTTAGATGGTAAATACTTAACTTTAGATAAAGTCGACTCTTCTCTGTTCTTCAGCATAATCAGGACTTCTGCGGCAGTATCTATCCGCATTTGCTATATTATTGCTCTTTATTTATTGTTATACTTTTCCAGAGCTCGTTTGCACGGTTATTCTAATAGTAATGTAATGTATTTGTTTTAATCAGAGTACGTGTTATGCGACTAGAGAAGGAAATGTTTCATAGTCTTGGTTTAGAAGTCGAGGGTGGTAACCTGGTTGGAATTTATGTCAAAGAATTAAGCGATGATTCTGTTTGTAAGATCGCTGGGTTGCAAGTTGGTGACAGGTTAATAAAGGTAAKTGATTTATTTATTTGTTCGTTTACATTAGTATAAGAATGGAAAAGGCAAAATGCTGACTTTGTAAAATGCGTTATAATTTTCTTTAGTTAAACTGCTATGACTTCACACGGACGACCCTGGACCATGCAACACGAATTGTACAGCTGCTAACCAGCTGCACTTACGTCAGAATAGAAGCCGAGTCAGGCGAATGTGAGTACCCTAGAATGCTCAATTAGACCACGTGGTCGAGTGGACTACGAGTTGATACCGTACTCGTAATTCACAAGACCGAGTAATAATAATAATTGCCTAATTGTTTTAGTATCCAGCAAGCTATATGGCAAATTAAAAAAAGACTGTCGGCTCGTTTATCACAGGTTGTGTCGCTAAATTTGCTAGTGTCAACTAACCATATATTTTTCAGTTTACAAAGATGTTTTAAAACAGACGCCGCATGACTCGATTTACGTAAGGTATGTTATACACTAAGTATGAACCACACTTGCAAAMTCATCAGTTGTATAGCTTATATTTATTCTAGTAATTTTGCCGCAAGTTGTGAGCGGCGACTGATTTCAGTGCACGGTAACACCGTAATTGTAACTGTTCGGCGCGATTTGAAACGGACAGCATAGAAATACATATGAGGATTGACAAAACAAAAGGAAAACAAAGATTTAAGACCCCTTTGATACACTGGGTGAATGAATCACGGCTTTTGGACGTCTCGATATTTCCGCCAAAGCTAAGACACCTTTTGTGATGTACTCTCTCATATTGCACTGTACGTAGGCATTACAGCGCACGCAAGACACGCAACAACAGATGCTACGACGCAGCTGCACAAAACCGCGCTGCCCGCATTGATTGGAGACCTTCAAAGAAGAACTCTTTGACTTTCAGTCAAATATCCGTATTGTTTTTGTATTTACAGAACAATCAATTCATACAAAGCGATGTCTCCTGATGAACTGAGTTTTACTGTTGGAGAAACGCTGCACGTAATTAACACACGGGCAAACTATGATAGGGCCAAACAGTCTTGGAAATGGGTTGCCATGCGAAAAGACGGCAAAAATATCGACGAAGGCCTAGTTCCATGCATGGGAAGGTAAATGCTGTCACTCTTACAATTATTTTAAAATATAAGAAGGGGTATAGTTATAGAAATAATTTYTGTGTCCTTGGTATTGCGCTCGGGAGCCTAATCCTTGGAGTGCAAGTGCTTAAAAAGCATGAAAAAATAATGAGCATGAACAATCGGGGTATCCCAATTAATTCACTTGCATCTCGGAGCAGTATACAATAATACATTAGCGATGAAACTAGGGTAGCACTCTTCAAACTTCGGACATTTAATTAATGCATAATCTCTTAACTGCAATTTTCAGCCTCCCAGAAGAAATCGAGACGTCAATCACTGCCTCTCAAGTCATCACAAAGCTTGACGCTGAATCTGTTGARGAGTTGGGAAGTGATGATGGTGGCACGCCAATGAAACGAGGAGGCTCGGAAAGAAAAAGCTTCCTACAGAGATACAGAAAAATGAGAAAACGTGATAGTAGAGAACCCTATGGCTCTGGAATTGATGTAAACGGTGAGTATATTTTGATCTATACAAATTTATGAACAGATGAAGTACATGCATACGTATGGACCATGGGAAGGCAAATAATCGATGTGAGCGAAGTGAAGTGTGATACATAGAAAAGATGAAGAAAATCGTGTGAAATAAGGAGTAATAAAGTGTGGTAAACTAGATTGTACGTATTTCGAGGGTTTATGAAARGGGCTTTAATCGCAATGAATGATTAAAGTGTTTCAGAGGTGTATGAAACTGAAACATGTGKCTGAAAACATTTAATACTGAATAATATATAGTGCCGTATTCAAAGACGGAAATGTATTGATGATATTAAACTTTACCTTAAATGTGTTACAAATGACAATTCTATTTTATTGAAGTTCTCGACTGAACGGGTCGTTTATAGTGATGAGTCACTCTGAAACCACGAATTTTTCTTTTTTAAACGGCGATAGAACTAACGACAATGCACTTCGGTCTTAGAATATACTATCTTTAGTATTCAATGAAAAATGTGCACGTTGGGCGAAAAGTTTGATGCCTTGTCAGGCGCGTAGCGTCCTTTACGCATWTACGCACGTGCGTACTAGAGCGGATTTCGTGAGTGGGACACYGTTACCGCACAGTTACCGGACCTGGCCTGCAAAATTTTGGTGAACCAATGGGGCACTAGAATTTGGTTACAGTACGATTACGGTCACAGYACAGTACCGTCCGTTTCCCACTCATACRAAATCCGCTCTAGTGGCAAGGAAATATTAATATTTTTAAGTATAATTGTCTATGCTTGCTCTCTCGCACCAAGGCTTCGTTATCAGAAAGAACCTTAAAAACGCTGGAAATCGCATAAGAGTTATTATTTCAAAATTTCCTAGGGAGGACCCCAAGACCTCCTTAATACTCCCACCTTCAGCGGTCGCTAGCCCCCAATCCATAATATGTGTCGCGGTCAGAAGTACATAACCAGATGGTTATGTACTTCTGGTCGCGGTCCCTGACATGCGCGTACTAGCCAAAACGTCCACGCTACGCGCCTACCTGTTTGCTGGTTATATCTATTTGTTTGCATGGGTTATGCTAAGTGATGTATAAAATGCATTTGCTTGATACTATTTTATTGCTCTGTAGGTAATTCTGGTAAAGTCACCTACTATGAAATCTTGAGTAAGCTGAGATGACAAGTGCGCATGGTTTTACAGAGTTAAACGTTTACCACAAATAGTTTAGAAAAATCATGACTTGTTTTCTATCAACATATTTCTGTTTTCATAATGTATGCTGATGTTTGTTTGGAAATATTGTCTTTTCATGTGCATTTGCAAAAGTGATGTACTTTATAAAATATTTTATAAATAAATCTAGTTTTGATGTTTATAGACCTTTCTGCAATTCATGCGTGAGTGTTCTCCTAAATAATCAACTTTATTTTGTAAGAGCAAATTCCCGACCCAAGGACTGAGTGAACCGACCATGCGACAAAATTGACCGACAAAGTAATATCACTGTTACACTTTCAATTTTCTCAAGAAACTTGGAATACTTTGTGGGCGAGATAAGCTGGGGGCCAAAATCAAGATGACGGACATTCGAAATGGCAAATAGCRCATTYWCTGACATGTACCTCTCTCAAGAATTGCTGGAAAAGCTGCAGGGCTGGGTGATGCAATGTACATTAGCGTTACAAGGTGCCACCGAAAAGGCGGATCTTTGTTTACAAAATTTTGCTAATTAGCATAAAGTTTAAATTAAAGAAAACTATAAAATAAGTTTATGATGGAAAAGGGCTTATTAAGAACTATAAACTACGAAAGTTTGAGGTCATTACATGGAATAGTTTATGAGATATTAGTGTTCAAAGATGCTGAGTGGCAAAAGCGCTAATTAGCTCATATAATCTCTCTAAAAATTGGAGTTTTTAAAACCGTTTTACGCAAAAGGTATTTTATATGAGAAGCTCAAAATTGCGTGGAAAGCTTATTGTGCTATGATGTTTCAATATTCAGTGCTGATTTACTGATAGTTAGGTTAAAACGTTATATCCYTATGCTAATGATATGTTAATGAACCGAAATTAAACAAATTACATGAAATTATTCGTCTATACGTTTGCAAAAATTACACTAGTTAGGTTAAAACGTTATATCCYTATGCTAATGATATGTTAATGAACCGAAATTAAACAAATTACATGAAATTATTCGTCTATACGTTTGCAAAAATTACACCTAAGTTCTAAAAACGTCGCGCAATAATGCTGGGCACAACAGAAAAAAAAAAATGCGAGACCAGCCCTATGACCCTTTGCAATTCGTTAGCAACCCCAGGGCAGAGTATCTTGTCAGAAATTTGAATTTTGGTAAAAATGAATTTCTGAGTTTCTTATTTCTCGTTTTGTGCTGATAAAGCCTGATAAGTTGTTTTTAACAAATCCTACATTTTTATTTGTTTGTGCATATTTTGTCTTGTATTAACTTTTTAGCTCGCGTCGCATGAAAAATGCACATAAAATTCCGTTTATCACATGTAATGATCGAATGATTCAGGGCGACGTCCCACCAGCATTAAATGCTGCCGTGTTTTTGATTTTTACTTTTTTGGAGGTCTCCAGTCATAGAGCRTAAGGTAGCCTCTCTGTCCTCTCTCACAGGCGTTCTTAGTYTCGCCACGAAAATTCACTCGCCACGAACGCCTGGAAAGGAATGTTCCGCTCGAGTCAACAGGCGTTCGTGGCGAGTGAATTTTCGTGGCGAGACTAAGAACGCCTGTGAGAGAGGCTATCTTTTTCCGTATCCGGACCGGAAATTGCTAATTTGATGGTCGTGCAGCAGTAAGTTGGATCGAGGGAATCAAGAAAACTTTGTTTATCAGATTTGAGACTTTCTTTGCAATAAAAAAAATCGAATTCGACCTCGGTCTTTTATGTACGCTGCGCTCAGTCCGTACTGTCAAGACCTCGGTCTGATATTTTCCCGTACAGACCTCGCGCTCGGTTAATAGCCTCTTATTATTTTTATTTCCAAACATTAAACAAAATGTTAACTGATATCTTATGCTCTATAATATATTTCGTTGGAGAAATATTTAGATAYTTTTTGACTGGCTGTTCATCAGCTATACCACAGGAATACCATTTTTGCGATTCCAAAGGGAGCCCAAGAYGTGATGTTAACCTAAGTAAGTCGACCTTACTACCTTCGTCGTTCATTTGATAGAAATGTTAAGCCAGTTTGGGCAAAAGAAGGTACGTATGCGAACTCAACTCAGTAATGGGGTTTAAATACTTTAACGTGAACCTTTCAAAGTTTGTTGTATGCATTGAATGGAGGGACATAGACCACTTTACTTAAGCTTACTYAATGTCCGCCATTTTGGATTTTGGGCAAAACGCGCGAAAATGTTAAGGAATCTGGATCACTTTGACGGTTAATAGAGGTAGAGTAATACCGAGTAATACCAATCCACTTACTGCAAAGTTATTGCAGATAGTTGTCTAAAGACAATGCTTCTCGTTTTTTACACTTTGCTTTAGGAACGTTTGTCGCAGAAAATAAGATAAACTTATGCTAAGCTTTTATAAGTCTTAAGCTCTTTAATAAATAGCACATCTTGTTGACTGAACAGAAGTAATGTTGACGGCTTGTTAAATCGTATTTCCCTAACTCCGTATTTCTCCCTCTCTGGAATTTTCAACCTCTTTGCTTCTACAGAAATATGACGATATCTTATTTTTATGTAACTTAACTTTATTAGTATTAAGCTTAAATCTTTTACTAAGCTTAAAGCTTTACGGTTGTTTTGAAAAGCTTTAATGATGATATAAAGTGAGATTTCCTTAAATTGACGCCAAAAAATTGTTAAAAACATTTAAAAACTTGCCCTAATTGATCTAAGTATCTTGGATGACTGGTAAAGGAGGTCAAAGTGATGCAAATTTCCTTTTTACCAAACTTGTGTAAATTCTTAC